AGGGCCCACTGCCTTTAGAAAACTCTCAGAGCCATCTTCGCTAGTTGTTACTTCTGGTTACGATTAATCTTGCCTTTTTGAGTTGCAATTAATATCTCTAACCAGCACTTAAAAGAAGCCTTGGTGGCACTATAACATAAGCATTCGACAGCTAACAGCAAGGTTGGTAGTTCAAACCCACCAGCCACTTGGCAGCATAAACCACCACCAGTATTGAATTGTAACTGAATGGATGGCAGTGTGTGTTTTTTTGGAATCACCACTCAAGGATCCCTGGTGGTGCAGCGGGTTAAGAGTTGAGCTTCAAACCAAAAGGTCAGTGGTTTGAAGCCACAAGTTGCTCCACAGGGGACAAATCGCAGTCTGCTTCAGTAATGGTTTGTTGTTGTTAAGTGCCATCAAGTCGCCTCAGAAACCCTATTGGATAGTTGTACTCTGTCCCATTGGGTTGTTATGAGTCAGAACTGACTCAGTGGCAATGGGCTTGGGTTTTTTGGGGAGTAGGGAGGGTACGACGGGGGTATAATCACCACTTGGGAATCCTGGTGTGGTGCTATAGGTTAATGTGCTGGACTGCTAGGTTGGTTTGAATTGCAAGGTCGCAAGCTCACCAACAGCTACTTGGAAACCCTATACAGGATCGCTGTGAGTTGGAACCCACTTGATGGCACTTGGCAATATCAACAATCACCACTTACTTCATTCTGTAATTTGGTGCGGTGGCAGTGGTGGTTATGTGCTGTGGAGTCGGTTCTGACTCTTAGCGACCCTGTATAGGGTTTCTGAGGCTGTAAATCTTTACGGGAGCAGAAAGCTTCATCTTTCTCCCTTGGAATAGCTGGTAGTTTTGAACTGCTGACCTTGAGATGAGCAGCCCGGCTCGTAACTACTACGCTACCAGAGCTCCTTGTAATTTGGTGTAGTACTTAAAAAAAAAAGAAAAGATTCTGAAACCAGATTGCTGGGTTTAAGTTTTTGTTTCTACAAGGTGCATGGTCCCTGTGCAAGTAAATTAATCCTCCCGTCCTCATCTTCACAATGGAGGAAAGGGAGTACTTGCCTCCTAAGACTTCTGTGTGGAGAAACCGGTGAATACACCTGGCCAGGAGCAGCACCAGACACTGCTGTATTTTAGTTAACAGTCTACATATTTGTCTCTCTGCTATCCCCTAGTTCATGTTTTAAGGTTCTTAGCCTAGAGGCACAGTAATCAAAGCACTTGGCGGTTAACTGAAATGTTGGTGGCTTTCACCACCCCAGTAGCAACTCTGAGGGAGAAAGGTGGCAGATGGCTTCCCTGAAGATTTACAGCCTTGGAAACTCTATGAGGCAGAGTTCCATTATGTCCCATAGGGCCGCTGTGAGCTGGAATCGACTCAGCGGTAATGGGTCTGGTTTGGTTTTTGTTTTAAGGGAACAATGTTAAGTTTTAGTATTCAGCTCTGTATCTTCCCAACAAGAAAAATACCATTACAGACTGGGAGTAGGAGAAGAAAGTGGGAGTTCATGGCTCCAACCACTGGGAAGCTGACTTTACCAAAGCCATGACAATACAGCAACAGCTGGGTAAATCCAGTCCAAAAAAGGAGTCTATTGTAGAAAAGACGAGTTGGAAATACAGAATCCGTATCGGTCGGTGATAAAATCTACTCCAACTAAGGTTTTTACTTCCAAATATAAAGCGCCACATGTATCAAGGAGTCAAATGACATACCCCCAAATTTCCCCACGTGACCCACATTTACCAACTAGACACCAGGTGCTAGACTCAGGAGACGCACATTCCACTGCTTTTCCAGGCCAACCTTCTTCCCATGTCATTATGAAAAGAGATTAAAGGTGCCCACTGTAGATAGTTTCCATGAAAATTTTAAAGCCCCCTTGTCTATGCAATGTTTCCTCAAACATCACACATTCTATAATCACAAAAAGTTATTAATTTCTTTTAACTCTGACATTTTGCAAATTAGTATGTTGTTGTCAAGTGCTGTAGAGTCAGTTCCAACCCATAGGTGATCCTGTGTAGCGTTTCCAAGGAGTGGCTGGTGAGGTTGAACCGCTGACCTTGTGGTTCAAACTGACATTACAGTCCAGTGCATTAACCCACAGTGCCACACCAGGACTCCAATTAGTGTAGTTGATATAAAATAACAGACTGTATTTGGCATAAACCTAAGGAAAAGTTTATTTTACATAAGCACCTCTCTGAAAGTGAGCTTAAATTAAACCATTCCATTCAAAATTTTGTGATTATACCCACATTATTCTAAGGATTATAAAATGTTTGCATTCAAATGTGATGATTACAGTTGTTAAGTGCCACTGAGTCAGTCAGTTGTAACCCATAGCAATTCTGCATAGGGTTTCTGAGGAGTGGCTGGTGAGTTTGAACCACTTACAGCATCGTACCAGAATACTGTTGTTGTTAAGCGCCATTGAGTGGGTTCTGGCTCACAGTGATCCTGTATAGCGACCCTGAACAGGGTTTCCAAGGAATGGTAATGGGTTTGAACCACCAACCTCTCGGTTCAAACTGACCTTGTGGTCCAGTGCTTTAACCTACAGCACTACACCAGGACTGTCATCAGTACATTGTGTTGTTGTTGTTAAGGGCCGCTGAGTTGATTCTGACCCACAGCGAGCCTGTATAGGGGTTCCGAGGAGCACCTGGTAAGCTTGAACCGCCGACCTTGCACTTCAAATGGTTTCACAGTCTGGTGCATTAACCCACAGCGCCACACCAGGGCTCTCATTGGTACATACGAACTATATAAAATAACTTTTAGCAGCAAAAGATTTTAGGGTTGTAACCAAATAGTATAAAGGCAGGAAGAAACCCAAAGTGCTTGAATTCTCTGTTTTAGATCAGATAATTTAGAAAATGCCAGATAAATCTTTAAAAGCTTTTGTAGCTATCTTAATCTCATGACCCCCTTCAGATTCATACGGCACTTTCAATTTTTCTCAAGGCCATCTAAGAGTTTGCTGTTTTTATTGCTTACAATATTTGCTGATTCATCTTATTGTTTTAAATTTCAAATGAACAAACTATGCTACAAATCCACTCAGGGTATTTTCAGTTGCCTCAGAAGCATGCAAAAGCTGGATAATGAAGAAGGGAGATTCCTGAAGAATTGATGCATTGAATTACAGTGTTAATGAAGAATATGGACTATACCATGGGCTGCCAGAAGAATGAACAAATCCATCTAGGAAGAAATACAGCTGGAATGCTCCTTACAAGCAAGGATGTCAAGACTTGTCTAGCACACTTTGGAAATTATTATCTGGAGGGACCTGTCCTCGGAGAATGACATCATGCTTGGTAAAGTAGAAGGTCAGCAAAAAAAGAGGAAGCCCGTCAACAAGATGGACCGACAGTGACTACAATATTAAGTTCAAACATAGCAATCACCGTGAGGATGGCACAGGAGTGTTTTGTTCTATTGTTCATTAGGAGTCAGAACTGGCTTGATGGTTCCCAACAACAACAACAACAACAACAACAATCTTTTGAAGTTATCATGTCGTTGTTGTTGTTAAGTGCCATCAACTTGGTTCTGACCACACCGGCCCCATATAGAGTTACTGAGGAGCAGCTGGTGGGTTTAAACTTCTGACATTTCAGTTAGCATTCCTGTGTTTATTCTAGAGCGCCATACCAGGACTCCATTATTCCTTTACACATCACAGATTTTTATGCCTCAAACTCTTAAGTGCCCATTAAAAAATTAAACTGAAAAAATATTTTAACCTTGGCACAAAACAGCTAAGGAGCTCTGGTGTTACAGTGGGCTTCATTGCAAGACCAGCAGTTCAAATCTAACAGCTGCTTCATGGGAAAGATGAGACTTTTTGCTCCCGTAAAGATTTATAGCCTCCAAAACACCACATAGGATGGCTGAGTCGGAACCAACTCTATGGCAAACATTAACCACACAAAGCCTGGCTGACTGTGTGCCGTGAAGTGGGTTCCGACACATAATAATCCTACTTAGGGTCTCTGAGGCTATACATCTTTACAGGAGCAGAAAGCCTCACTTATTCCCCAGAACTCCTGACCTTGTGGTTAGCAGCCCAACACATACCTTTCTATACTACCAGGGGTCCTTCTACCATACAACATATGTTCAGTAAATATTTGCTGAATGAATAAATATCTATCAGGGAATGCATCTGTCCTGACAACTCAGGAACAGGCACAGAGTAATCTGTCTCTGTACAGGAGTCCCTGAGTGCTGCAAATGGTTAGTGCTCGTCATCTAGCTGAAAGGTCGGCAGTTCTAATCCATAGAGAAGCCTCGGAAGACAGGCCTAGTGATCATTTTCCAAAAAAAAAAAAAAAAAAACAGCCTTGAAAACCCCATGGAGCAGTTTCTACTCTGCACATATGGGGCCCACCATGAATGAACTCAATAACAACCTATATGTATGGGGATACTTTTTATAGTAGCTTTTGTTATTGAGTAATTACAGACTTGGTGGCAACTGGAAACATTGTGTTGTTATGAAAACAAAGTAAAACAGCTGCTATGCATAGTTTCTGAGCTGTTTTCAACATTTTGGATATAACTAGAATTTTAAGGAAAAATGAGAATGCAAGGTCATTTCAGGAAGCATAGTCACTCTGGAAAACATGGAAACCAAACATGAGATAAATAAATGCTAATTTATCACCAGGACTATACCAGTGTCAGTGGATAAAGCATCTAATGTGTCTTCTTATTTCCAAAACAGTGCTGACAGAATACTGCAATTTCAGAAGGTTAGGACGAGTCCCAGGGCTCTGGCCCCCAGCTTTGCTGCACATTGGAGTCACCTAGGGATCTTTTTAAAAAATAAAAAAAGTGGTTCTCCGCCTCCGACATGCTGACTGCCTTGGCACGGGATTAGAACCTAGGCGCTGGGAGTTTTACGGCTCCATAGGAATTCTAATGTGCAGCAAAAGTCTAGTAACCGCTGCCGCAGGGTTTTTAAATTCATGACTTTCAAAAACTTACACCTGAGGTTTGACAATCTTCAGCTGTGTGAGGATGTCCTTCTGTACCCTGGGATTCGCTGTGGCAGTGAGAGCCATCACGGGCACCAAGGGAAACTTCTGGCGAAGCATATTCATTCTTTTGTAATCTTGGCGAAAATCATGTCCCCACTAGTTGGGAATAAAAAATTCAGACAACACTTTTCAGACTACTTCCTTACATGAGAAACAAAAATGGGTCAATACCACTGTGTTTTTCTTTGATAATTATGACACTCTATGAATGTAATACCTCCCCACCTTTCCCAGTATTTTCTCCTCCAATTCAATCTACTGAACACACTCAGGAAAGTTATTTTAATACAATACAACTTTGATTATTTCATCATCTTCTTTAACATACTCTAGTGACTATTTATCACCTACAAGAAAAGTACAATATTTTATCTTTCTCTACAGCCCCTTGGTGGTTCAACTGGTTAAATGCTGAATTACTAGCCAAAAGGGTGGTGGGGTAGTTCAAACCCATCCAGGGTGGCTCAGACGAAGGCCTAGAGATCTGCTTCCAAAAGTTTACATCCTTACAACTCTGAAGAGGTTCTCTGCACACCTGGGGTTGCCATGAGTTAGAATCAACGGGAGAGCAACTAAGAAGGAAAATCTCAGTATGTTGCCCCTCCCTTCGAAGCCTGCAATGACTATACATCACCTGCGTTGATAAAATCTAAACCCTTTAATTCAACACGTCAGGTCAGGCTTTGTTTTGATCTGACTCTGTTATCTCCTTATCTTGTAAGCAGCTTGAGGACAGGAAATTTTCTATCCTGCTCAGGATTTTATCTCCAGAATCTCAAACAATGCCAGGTTTAAACAGGCTCTTCTAAATATTTGTGAATTAATTAAACAATGAAGAAATGAAAAACATACACATATTCACGCAAGCACACCCACACACAAATTCCCCAAAATTTCAACAAAATGAACACACAGTTATTAACAGAACCAAAAGACAAAGCCACCTTTTTCTGTGAAATGGCAGAATAATTCACCCAATGTGGGCTTCTCATTAACTTTATAAAAGACAGTGCTGTTGGTATATGTTTCTTAGTATTTCAAGATACAAAAACAATACTCACCTGACTGACACAATGTGCTTCATCAATAACAAAACGTGCCAAGAGCTTTCTCTGGTAGAGATTCTCCAGAGTAGAAATCAGTCTGTTACTTGCACAGATCTAGACCAGAAATGTATTAATACAGATATTAAGCACACTGTCACTGAGTCGATTCAGACTAACAGTGCTTCTCTATATAGGGTTTCTTAGACTGTAAGTCTTTAGGGGAGCAGACAGCCTTTCATCTTTTTCCCAAGGAGCAGCTGTTACGTTTGAATCATGGTTAGTAGCCCAATGCCTTCCCACAGTGCCCCCAGGGCACCTAAATACAGACACTGTTGTTGGTCAGTGCGGTTGAGTCAGTTCCAACTCACAACAACCCTATATAGGGTTTCTGAGAAGTGGCTGGTGGCTCTGAATCACTGACCTTGAGGTGGGCAGTCTAATACCTATCCTACAGTACCACATGATATTAGACAGTTTAAAACACTTAAACATCATATCATCCTAATGATTGTGTTGTCTTCAAGCTTCCCTAAAACTTAAACCGTATTATGACTTCCATATAAAATGGTTATTCCAATCCATGAAGAGCAGAGCAAAATTAATAGAAAATAGCAATCCTGACATTATAGAACATTCATCTACACTCAGTAAACAGCTTATATGTTGGGTCAGAAGTTCATATACTTTTCCCTGTCTTAATACATCTAAAAATCACCAAGTTTACACTGGTAATAGGTTACAGATGTGTTATGTTTGTGTGTGTTTAAAAAACAAACTATCTGTATGTGTAAATGTATATTTCCCAGCCATGACCATGCACAGGGCCTAAGAGTAACAAGAATGCCTAGCACCCGTATCTTGACAAGGACATGCCAAAAGGACACAGAAACCAGCTTGATGGTGCTCACCCTGGCCAAATTTAAATATCCGAATATCAATGACAACTGAGAATAAGCCACTGAATAAATGCAGACCGCTCAGCATGAGTATAAATATGGGGAGGAAAGGGAAAGTTCTCGCCTGGCCTAGAATGCCAAAAGAATCAGAGAAGTCACCATGGCACCCCTTATTGTTCTAACTTTTTCAAGGAACTCATTAATGATATGAAAACTTATGGGTAAAAGTCTGATGAGTTAATAGGTTATTTACATAGCTTTAAAGTATTTCCAATAGAAGATCTAACAATCAAATAAAATAACTTCACAGGAGAAATCTGGCAGACACCACCTTAACCCAAGTGATCAAAGTTAACTAGCATTACCAGTACTAACATGAATTGACATTAAGTGTCTCCTGAGAGCATTGCACATCTGTGATGTTATAGCCAAAAAGGAATACCATGAATCTATCAGGAAGAAATATAAAATAAACTCAGATTAAGTAACAGTCCTCAAAATAATGGCCTGCAACTCTTCAAAATATGTGAAGCTCATGAAAGATAAAGAGCGATGGGAAAACCACGTGCATTAAAGAAGATTTAAAGAGCTATGACAATTGAAATCAATGCATGAGCTGGGGTTTTCTTGTGCCATAAAAGACATTATTGATACAAATTTGCAAAATATGAGTAAGGTCTATACACAATATAGTAATAGTGGAGTATCAGTGTAGACTTTTAGATTTTGATACGGGAACTGTGGCTATGTAAGAGAATTCCTTGTTTTAAGGAAATGCATAGAGAAGTATTTAGGGGCAAATAAAGATCGTTTATGTCTGCAACTTATCTCACGTGTTTCAGAAAAATATGCATATATAAAGATAAAACAATCCTAGTAAAATGTTATCATTTGGAGCTTCCGGGGATTAGATAATAAAGGAATTTTTTGGTACTTTTCTGCACATCCCAAATTAAGTCAAAGTAGAAGATTGAAAAAATGTATGTATCTTTGTTGTTGTTGTTAAGTGCCTCTGAGTCAGTTCCAACTCACAGTGACCCTCTGTTGGGTTTCTAAGGAGCTACCGAAGGGTTTGAACTGACAACTCTGCGGTTAGCAGTCCAATGCTTTTCCTACAGTGCCACACCAGGACCCCTATGTATTTTTGGTGGGCTTTATTATCATTTTTAAAAAAGTAATGATATAAATACAAACCTTCTCTGGAGTAACATATAGAAGTTTTATAATTGGATCTTTTTTTGATAATTGGAGGTAAATACTTGTAACTTCTGAGTCAGTCTTATCACCTGTCAGATAGGTAGCTGGAATCTAAGTATAAAAGTAGTAAATAATTGAAAACATTTAATATCTTATAAAAACATTTAATACACCTGACTTAGACTTATATTTATCCATAGATTTTATAGATATGTAATACGTCACATATCAAGCCTATGAAAGGAATTACATATAATCTCAATATAATACAAATAGGAACTAATCAGTATATAGCAAAAAAAAAAAAAAAAGCAAGCATAACTCAGAATATTCTTCCCATTGTTCACTTATTTTTCTAGTTTTCATATAAATTACATCTTTGAAAAAATTAATCTGTCTTTAATTTAAATGTCTCTTGGTCTTCCCAGTTATTTCATATTTGTAATATGGACTCACCATCCAAGAGATTTCAGTCCTAATGTATGGCTATATATTTTTAAATGTAAATGTATCTTCAGGCTTTTATAGCACAATCACCATGAAGGGACTGTAATGTGAGGCTACCCTCACTGAGCTATGACATTTTTCTAAAATCAAACCAGTGGTCATGTTAAGGGTGGTGGCTCATGACCTTGTATGATGACAACAACACAGGATTTTGTAGAGTGCATTCATATACTACCTTAGCCTCAGCCACGAGGAAAAAAACATGTGTGTGCATGCACATTTATAAACATTTTAAGATCTTAGGAAATGAGAACTAGACAGCAAAAATAAGAGCTCTATAGAAAAAAAGAAATACTTTCCTATTAGTAAAAATAAATTGCATCAGCATAATACAGGTAATCATTTCCTGCTACAATATATTCTATTAACATAAACTCAAACTGAACTACAGAAAGTTTTATCTGTGCTAAAGCACGTAATTCCTGAACTACTTAATATAAAAAGATTTTCCAAAACTATTAACACAGGATTGTTTTCTAGCCTGTTTCCATTATAGCAAGTAGCATTTTGTTTTAACTTACATCTAAGGAAGTCAGCTTTTGGACCTGATCCACTATTAGTGATCTCAAGGGAGAGATGACAATAGTGACCCCAGGAGATATGCAGGCGGGTAGCTGGTAACACAGGCTTTTACCGCCTCCTAAAAGAGAAATAGTGAAGAAACCTCTGTCAGGTTCCATCCTGATAGCATGAAGGAAGATTACTTATGATGATGACAGTAATTAACTACCAGGACACTGAGGGATAGTCCCAGGGTGCCAACATTTACCATCCTTGAATGAGCCAAAACGTTTTGGTAATTTAAGGCAAGTGTTAAAATGACCTCTTAGGACATCTGGTATATAGGCACATTACCATTGCAAAAACAAAACTTCAGGGCAGATAACGTAAATGCAATCAAATTACTGAAAAAGTCTACTTGGAAAATTTAAATACTATAAGCTTTATATTTTGGGCAGTACATGGATACTCATATTAACATAATACTAGGATAAACATTCCATTATATATAATATTTAATTTTTAGAGAGGTCAAATGTAATAAAAGACACAACAGTGAACCGTACCAAACATGGTTTAATAATCCTGAAATACTTTTAATATCTTAGGGTTTTCGTGTGTTTAAATCATTAGTCAAGACTTCTCAACAGTGAATATCAGAGCACAGTTTAAATTTAAAATCAGTTTACAAAACTTAAAAGAAGCACAGTTCACACTGCTTAATAATGAAGGCAATAGGTTAAGTTGCTAAAGGTTATAACACACTGAGTGAAAGGCAGAAGGAAGACTTCCACTTAGAGACTGACATTCCAAAGTCTCCATTCTTCCTATCACATGAGCCATTCAATGTGAGACATAAAGAGCAAAAGAAGTATCACAAGCTCGCTAGAGGATACGGAGTACCAAGTGCTTACTTAAAATTCTTACTTAGATGACTGTAAGTCACTGAACAGTAGTAACACAAAGAGAAGTCCCAAACTTACTCAAAACTGGGGTCAACCAAGAGCTAGCTACGTGCTGTATAACGACTCCCTACGGCATTCTAGGAAACACACAGATAAGGAAACCAGGGTTTAGGGAGTTACGTTACTTGTCCCAAGTCACATGGCTCAAAGCTAGCAGGGTCGAGAGCTTTAAACTTGGTCTTCACTCTAGAGCCGATGCTTTGAACTATAAAACTAGGCTGCTACAAAATAAACAGATCTCTCTGATGGTGAGTTTGTGTTTGCTTTCCAGATTTTGAATGGAAAAAGTAAAAAATTCCTGAAGAAAAACCCCACAAATTCCAATACACTTGGAGTTGTAAACTGTAAAGGGCTAGAGTGTTATCATGCTAACAACCAGAATGGAGGATGTGAGGTAATATCCTTTCTCATTATGGCACGGGAGGGTTAGAGGGCTCTAAACTATAGAAATTCTGCGTCAGTATGTAGGTATTCTTTTTTTTCTACTAAAGAGCTTTCGTTTCATTTAACATCTGCCAATGGATTCCTGCCAATTCATGTCTAAAAATACATACCAGTGGGCATTAAGATGAAACAGTCTTCACCAAGCAGTGTAGCATTGATCGCCTCTAGTTGATTAGTTCTAAAATTATGCAGGCCAAATTTTTTATGAAAAATTTTCATCATTTCTTTTGTATGAGGAAAATTGAGACTTTGGAAATGCTCATGTTTCAGATTTGTGGAGGCAAAATTTTGCCCTGGCCTGTCTAGAATAACAAGAATTCATGTTAAGAAACTTCAGCACATTAATGTAACAAGTCAGCTACATTATTAATGTACATTGTCTTACACCACACTCCTTCATGAACCCTTCCTTTACTGGGGTTTCCTCCCCTACCATTCTCTAGAAACTGTACCCTCAAAGCACTCAGAGACTTCCTCAGGGCCAAATTCAAGGTTCCCCTTGCCTTTGATGCAGCACCTTTTATTACCAGTCACTCTTCCCTCCTCTTCTCCCTGAACACTCAAGACAATCATTTCCTACTCATTTTAAATTCCCTTTCCTGACTCAACTCTATCTGCACCTTCAATTTGGGAGTCTTTCAGATCCTCGGGACTGGACTCAACATATTCTTTTTAAAATACACATTTAAAAATTTTTCCTAGATCTATGATGTCAAACATCACCGCTGTGCAGAGAATACCTAAGTCTTTCTCGTAAAACCTGACTGACATCCCTTCTAAGTTCAGTCCTACATGTATCTCCAATCGTCTGTGAGACATTTCTCCCGGAATGATGTACCAACACTATATGCTCAACAAGGCTTAAAATAGTCCTCCTCAGCTTTTCTCCAAATCTGCCTCTGCCTCCTGACTCCCCCTATTTTTGTTGATGGTGTCACAATTCTCCAGGTCACCCAGGTCTGAAACCTCACAGACGCCTTAGCTTCCTGATCCCCCTTCAGAACGTCTCTCACATCCTCCCCTGTTCTGCACCCTCGATGCCTCCACTCTGGTTCGGCACCAACGACGAGAGGTAGTCACGCCAGTTTTGGCAGTTATTCTAACCGCAACACTCAACTGTCTCAAAGTTCACTGCCAACATCAAGTATGACATATTTTAACATGATATAAAAATAAATCCATTAATGGTTATTTTAAAGGTCAACAGCATAACTGTGAGAACAACCTTCATGGGATTAAGTCATCAATGGCAAAAATAGGAAGGGCTGTACTTTGTAACCTTGCACATATAAACTTGTTTGTTTTAAAAACGAAAAATAAAAAAAACATTTTGTGATAACTTTACAGGGTTGATGCAAGGCTTTAAAATTAATGTTGGCTTTCCTCTGCTAATTTCAGTGTTCCAAAAACTTCTCTCTCTCTTGCTAAACTGTGAGCCTCTAGTGGGCAGGAATGATTCATAATTCATTGTATATCACCAGAATCTAGCATAGTCCCTGGCATAGAATAGGCATTAAACAAATATTTGTTGAATGAATGAAAGGATTCTAAGACCTCATGAAAGAACAATTTGATTCACTTACGAAATTTCTGGCTTTGTATCTTTCTTAGACTACCTGATACGTTAAAAAAAAAAAGTTAATATATACAACTTGCTTCTCTACTTTAAAAGTTAATCAATTCTTGCCTATACATAAGTCTTAAAAAACACACAATTATACTTTTAGCATGTAAACTCATTTTTGCTTTTGCCCTTCCCCTCAAATCAGTAAAATTGGCCCTCAGGAACTTTATTGTTTTAAGGACTGCAAAACGTTAATTTTCAGGCAAAGCACATTTGTAATGACTTTTAGATCTTTAGTACAATAGGTTATAATTACACATTTTATAAAACTACAGCTGCTACAGAGACAAAAGAGCAACCTGCTTTTGAAATTGTGATTTGTAATTCATATTATCAGTAGAAATTTGCATAGAAACAATGTCGTTCTCTGGCAATGATGGCTTGCTATGGTTTTTCTTACGCAATTTCCATTCTGGACAGTTTTGTTTACATATAATACGTAAGTATTCAATTTGTTTTAAACTTACCGGTATAATTATGAGTTGACTCTGAGAAGTTTTTATTTTGAGCAGTAGATACTACTGGAAGACAGTTGGTCTTGGCTGAAGAAATTCCTTCCGATACGGATTTAATTGGCCGCCTTTCCTTAATAGGTGGGTAGGCAGCTGTGGAAGATTTGCTGGCTGTTAAATTATGCATTATATTTTCCCAGTCATCATCATCATCAAAGTCGTCTATGTCAAAATGATGGAGATCATAGGAAGCCTGGATTTCTGAAACCTCTCTTCTTTCTAAGTCATCTAGTGAGGCCTTGGGTTTACTCACATCTTTCACAGCAGTGCTTGTGAGAACATTTCCTGGGAAACGCAAGCTCGCGTTTCTTTCTTCTCTCCTTGGTGTTTCAGCACAGTAGCTACTTACAAAGGACTTCTGTAAATGGGAACTGAATAACGGTCTTTCAAAGAGATTTTTAGTGGCGACTGAGAATCCTGTCTTTCCTGGGGTGGTAGTGGGTAAACATTCCCCAGTGGAAATGGAGTTTGAGGAAAGGTGTGAAAAATGAAACTCCTTAAGAGAATTCTCTGTAGGACAGAAATTACCCTGTGATAATGTTACACCTTTCACAGAGCTATCAAGTAAATTAGGCCCGCATCTCCACAGTGAGCCGGGAAAACCAGCCTGGCTTCCGTGTAGATCTGCTTCCGCGAGGAGTTTCCTTCTAAACAGAGAGACCAAAACACCATATTAAATATGAGTCGTCTAATATGGTAGGCCACAGAAGTTTATGTTCAGATTTCAAACCAAACAGTGTGGCAAAATAGAGCCTGGTTTTTTTTTTTCCCCTTTCCAAATCTCAAAATATTGAATATAAATGCTAAAGGAACATTTTGAAAAAGCAAATGAATTTAAAACACAGAGACAATGTTCACGAGATCACCCTCAACAATTTCCTGGCCAGGACCCCTGGGAATTTTGTTCAATTTGACTTTGCCTTAGAGCAGTGGAAATGCAATCAGATACATTCCAAAAGGAGAAAATTCAAGATACCTTATGTTCCGTTGATGAAGGAGTTCATTCCCACAATCCAAAGCTTTCAGTTCATCAGCAGGAATGGCGTCCACCAATTTACAGATGTCTTCCATGACTTGAATAAGCCGCTGATGTAATCTTAACCATTTAGCTATAAAGTAATTTTGTTATTTTTTTTCCCCTTGAATACAAAAAGACCTAAGATTTTCAAAGTTATACATGTAAATTTTGAAGTAGTTTAGAAACAAGATCATCAACAAATACATACTATCCCATTATCGGCCAATGAAATAGTTTAAAATCAGATTCTCTCTACTGTGTATCATGAGTTTAAAATTGAGTTTTCATTTAATTTTATGCCAACACCTGGTTTTTCTCTTCAAGTTAGAAGGCATATAGCTACCAATTGAACACGAATTTTTACTAACTTCAGGCATAAATCTCGCTGTGCCTACACCAAGTGTGTCATACAGAGTTGGACACCTGTTGCTTTGGGCTGCCTGGTGTCCACTCTTCACTATAACGGGAACAGCACACACCACACAGCAGCTTTCCTCTGGAAGACACACCCTCTCCCTCACTGGGCATCTGACATAAGGCAGCCCAGTGAGAATCAACATGAGGAGTTTTCAGACTGACGGGGAGAGAGGATCTCTTTTTTCAGCAGGTTTGATGAAAGCTGCTGGCAGCCCACTGCCATCCAGTCGATTCTGACTCACACAACCCTACGGACAGAGAAGAACTGCTCTCGAGGGTTTCTTTATGGGTGTAGACAGCTTCATTTTTCTCCCACAGAGTGGTGGTGGTTTGGTCACTGACCCTGCAGTTAGCACCCCAATGCATAACCGGCTAGCCACCAGGGTTCCTTCCTGTAAGCTACACCAAAGGTGAACTGGAGACAGATACCTGGACTTTCAAACCATTCTGCGTTTAAGGCAATGATCAAATTCCAGGTTAAAAGAGGAATGGGCACAAAACTCTGAAGTGTTCCTTTTGGTGACTGAGGTAAACAGAACGTGAGGTATGAGGCAGTGAAAGTGGGAATGCCTTGAAATTCTATTTTTACTTCAATTTTCTCTGAAGGAGAATGGGCATCAGATCAGAAACGAAAGCATAAACAATGGTCTGAAAGAACTGAAAGCCAAGAAAGGCTTAGAGAAAGATACAAGGGCACCAAGTGATTGGAAAGGCGCTCAGATCTCCCTGTTCAGACAGATGATACCACATAATACAAAGAAAACACAAACAATGTCTTGGAGCCAATGTCGCTGATATCTGAGGCATCTAGTGAACAGGTGAGTTGATGAAATAGTAAAGACAGGCAAACATTGTCCTGGGTTGTTTTTTTTTTTTTTTCAAAAGACAAAAGTAATTGCCAAAAACTACAGACTGGTGATCTTGAAGTCAATTCAAGTTAAAACTGGAGAACATGTTATCAAATGGCTGCTTTGTGCACTCTAAGAAGGAGGAAACAATTACAGAGTCAGCAAGAGTTCATAAAAACAAACCAGCCATCTTAACATATTTCCTCCTTTCAAAAGATTACTAGACAGACAGATACCATTTATTGAAGGGTCCTGATGTGGTGCTGTAGGGTAAGCACTGGACTGCTAACCCCAAGCTCTATCCAGGGTTGCGATGAGTCGAAACTGATCACACAGCACTTAACAGCAGCAGTAGCACTTACCTTACCTGGGCTCCTGACGGATCCATCCAAGGTAGATAGGCTTCTCATCTTACAGAAGCCAAAAAGGAGATGCCTAGCCAGGAGGAGCTGAGTCAGGTTTCTAACTTACACCTTCCTCACTCCATAGCCAATGCTCTGCCCAGTTCCCTTCAGAGGGAGCCCTGGTGGTGTATTGGGCTAGGCATTGGGCAGCTACCTGCAAAGATAGCAGTTCAAACCCACCAGCCACACCTTGGGAAAAAGATGAGGCTTTCTGTCCTATAAAAGATTTATAGCGTATCATGACTGATTGCGTTTGTCGTAACCGTAAAGGTAGAGGCTTTGTAGCAAAAGGGGGCAGTGGCTGCTCTTGCAGTCCAGGAGCAGAGGACCCTGGGACCATCAAGGGAGAATAGTGGGAGCGGAGTGGGACCCTACTCAGAGAAGTGGTGACGTCAGAGATGACGACATGGAGAGATGGAGCAGCTGGGGACTCTAGACTCACGGAGGGAGATGGGCTGTGTGCTGGTGGCTGGGTGGCAGGCTTGCAGGATGTGCCCTGTGGCTGTTTGAATGATTGTATATTCCTGAGTGCTTCGGTGTACATCAAAAAAAAAAAAAAAAAGGGAACAGAAGCAAATTCTATGGAATGATGATGCATGGAGGGGGTTGTAATCATTGCCATGAAACAAAATATAATAGAATGAGTATAAAACTGATGTTCTGCCATGTAAATTATCACTCAATTCACAATAAAAACTCAAAAAAAAGAGTTACAGCCTTGCAAACCCTGTGGTGTGCAGTTCTGCTCTGTCCTATAGCGTCACCAAGGCAGCACTGATTTGGTAGCTGTGGTTGGCTGTTTGTGACCAAGTCTTTGGCCAAGGGAGAGGAACACGGCCGGAACAGAAGTGGTGATGGGCTGAACGTCAGCTGAGAGCGAGGCCGCTACTAATGTATGAATCTCTAGGACTCTATCCTTGTCTTTAACCTTGTCAACCATTTTGGCAACACAACTTAATGGTGCAGAGACAACAGGTGCTGCTGCAGGTGCTGTTGAATTGGTTCTGACTCATAGCGTTTCCAAGGACGTAAATCTTTATGAGAGCAGAAAGCCTCATCTTTCTCCCACGGAGTGGCTGGTGGGTTGGAATTGCTGATCCTTTGGTTAGCAGCTCCGTGTGTATCCTATTGCTCTGCCAGGGTTCCTTGCAACAGTACAGTACAGTACAGTAGTTTTTATATGTGGACACAGGAGCCTCAAGATGGCTTGTCTTCAAATCTTAGCTCAGCTACTTTGTAATTCTATGACTTTGTGTAATGATTTAAGTCTCTTTTCCCCAATATCCTTCTCTATAAGATGGGGATAATAGAAACTAGCTTAAAAGTCTGTTGTGAGGGTTAAATTAATAAATACGGCAAAGCAATTACAATAGTGTTTAGGACACAAGGTATTTCAGGAATTCTACCAGGAAATTCAGAGACGAAAAGAACAAATAGGCAAAAATACAAATTCCGAGGAAACCTAGACATCATGCACAGAGCAGAACACTGCAGACACGTGTGCGCACACACGCCCCATAAGGAAAGTGCAGCATTTATCAGACAATAAGATGCATAACAGAAACAGTCAGAGAGCCAAAAAGAACCCTCGAAAATTGATTAGGTGAAACTGAAAAATTCACAGAAGAACTAAAGGTAAAACTGCGGAAATCTCCCAGAAAGGAAGAAGGGGAAAACAGAAACAAGAATCAATGGAAATCTAACATCCAAACAACAGAAGTTACATTAAGAGTGAAAAGAGGAAACAAAAGAGAGGGAAATGAAAAGAAATAATAACAAGAGAAACTTCCTGACTGAAGGAACCTCTGGGAAGTAGAATCCGGGTGAGAAAGGGTGCTGTTTTTCAAAGACTGGTAGACCTATCTGACTATTTATACTAACACATTTAGTAGAAATTAAAAAGAGAATTAAACAAAGCATTAAACTTAAAAGGGACATTAAGACTCAAACATGGAAGAACAACCAGGACAATGAAAGATCTAGAAATCTTATCTATCAATAATCAATTCAATCATGTTTAGCTTGGAAAAAACCAAGACTTGCAAGAACTTAGTATTGACCTCAGAAAGATCAAAGTTATAAGGAAATAACTTCCTCACAAACAGCATTTTCAAAATAGGAAATGAACTACCTCTTGAGACTCTTATCTCTGAGGTAGTCAAGCAAATGGAGGCTAACTAATGAAAAGGGATCATTCTATATTAGAACTTAAGAACTACACATTTGCCATTTTACACAATACAGCCACAGGGGAGAATACAATGCTGTTGTGTTTTCTGAAGTAAGCAGGTGAGATATGTGCTCTGTCTAAAATGCTTTTTGTACCGTCATAGCCTGTGCTGGTTCCTTGATTAGGGTGCTGCACAGTCATTTCCTCAGGTTTTGACAAAAGGTCCTGAGATGTGCTCAGAGCATCCTTCTTTCCGTCAGCGGTATCAAGGTCTTGTACCACACTACAAACAACAACAAAGAAAGCCGATTATGACATAGGCTACACCAAATAAATATGCAATTCCTACCTCCTTAATATTCCCCATAGCTGGTCAGACAATATATAACAGAGAAGAGAGGACTGGTTTTATATCTCCTCTATAAGATGGGGATAACAGAAACAACCTTAAAAGGCTGTTGTGAGGATTAACTTAGTTAACTGTAAGGTACTTAAAATAGGGTTTAGGACATTATTTCAGGAATTCGAATACCAAAACCTAATTCTAATTCTAAAACCTCTTTAGCTGACCCTCAAAGTCTTGTATCTTCTGGTCCCAAAAGACCTTATCAATTTTATCTCCCGTTGTGCTATACCCTCAGACCCTAGGCGCCAATCAAACTGCATGTCTTACATTCTTCATATAAGCCCTGCACTGTCTAGTTCAGGGATTTTGCCTCTGCCTGTCATTCTGGTCTCTTCTTACCCAAATGACACCTGTTTCTCCAGGCCCAGGGCAAGTGTTACTTCTCTAGTCCTCCAGCGGATGATTATTAACAGCTCTCTCTTCCAGAACTCCAAAGCACTTTATCTGGACTTCTCTTATTATGCCATATGCCAATGTTTATTTATGTGTATCTGTGTATATATAGTTAAGTCATACGTACTATTCACAAATATATGTGTTGGTCTGATTAGATGTAAAAATACTTACAAAGTAACAAAATAAACTAGTAATAAATTAAGTGTTAAAGAAAAGGTACTGAAGAAATCCAAAGGAAAGAAGCTCTTTCTAGTGCTTAAGAAACCTCCACCAAAGATGCAGGAGCTGAGCAAACCTTAAATAATGGGTGTGGGGAAAGTGACAAGAGTAGGAAGCAGAGATAAACAAGATTCTATTTGCTTGATATCCAGGAATCAACTGTAATGAAGCATGATTTGGAACTGCAATATTCAAATGAAATCAAAACAGTGATGAATAATTATGTTTTAGATAATTTTAAAAATAACACATATCTGGATAAAGGGGGGTTGCTTCAAAAAGTTCACGTACATATGGAACTGAGAGATAATGGAATTTTCCCACAAACTCTTCGAAGCCCCTTCATAGCTTAAGACATGGTCTGAAAATTTCGAGATCATTGGTTTGACTCATTAGGCTCATTGGAACTTAGTGTTTGTGAAAGGGCATAACTGGAGAGAAAGTGGAAAAGGGGGCAGTTTAGAACCGGAAAATGGAGACCTGTGATGGCCAGTTAAAGAGATTTGGGATAAAGGAGCTACTAAAACTATCTCTCTTTTCTGTAGACACACTGTCTGACAATTCCAACTCTGAAATTAATTTAAAAGTCAACATTTAAAAAAAATGAAATTAAATTTGAACAAAGTATACAATGTTCATAGTTAAAAATAAGTATCACTCATGAAAATGTTATATTATTTAAAAATATATACAAATATGTGTACTGGATTGCAATGGAAAATGTTTTGAGCCTGGTGCTGTAGATTAACTGCAAAGTTGGTGGTTCAAGGTCACCAGCTACTCCTAGGAACGCCTATACAAGGTCACTATGATTAGGAACCAACTCAATGACACTTAATAGCAGCAGCAAATGGAAAGGATTACTCAGTCCCATAATTCCCACAAACCATTTGGACCCTTCTTTTCCCATGTATATGCTTTTTTGGGTATTACTGTGATCACCAAGTAACTATGAGTTTATGTTCTACTTTTCTCCTAACATGATTTTTGAGTTTTCTCCATATTGCTACACGGCCTTTATTACTTTTAATGGTTATCTAGCTTAGTCAGTTGTTATGCCACAATTCACCTAGACCTTCAGAAATTAGAAAACAAATATTTACAAGTTGGTTGTTCTTGTTGCTAAGTGCCTTTAATTGGTTCCGACCCACAGCGACCTTGTATAGGGTTTCCGAGGTACGACTGGTGAGTTTGAACCACTGGCCTTGTGGTTCAGTGCTTAGCCTACAGTGTAACACCAGGACTCTGTTAATGTGGCTTTAATGTTATTCGTGGGACATATATTTTTAACACAAAGAACAAAGCCAGGTGTTCAACAAGGAATCAGCACGCCACAGGAGAAAGCAATGCACTGAGTCTTAGTCCATTTGCCATCACTGTGTCTTCCTGGGCAAGTCATCCTGCTCCTCCCTGGGCCTACGATGCTTTACCTATTCAATGAGAATTCTAACCCAGAAGCAAGACTTCATGTGAATTCTGTGCCATTTCAATTTTCTATAATTCTGTCTGAATTTCTACTAGAAAGAAGAAGAGGTGGAAGAAGTTTATTGATAGTTTTTAGTTTTATCATAAAATAGTAATCATGCTTCAACCTTTTCTTCTTCAAATATCCCAACACATCCATTAAATATAAGCTGAGAAAAATCAGGCTATACATACAAACACCCTCTTTTCCCTTCTTCATCTTCTGTATTGTGTTGTACTACAGAGACTCGATTTTCATAAAAATATTGGTTAATATTTTTATGGATGTACACCTAAATTCAATAGGACTTCCTATTAGATTGGGGTGGGGTGGGAGGTGACAATGGAAGTAGTCATTTGAACCACGGAAGGGCTCTCAATTTTTTTCCCATAACAGTGACAACTAACCACAACATAATAGTAATACAATGTATTAGTAGCTATTAAGGCCCAGCTACCAGAATTGATGCTTTTGGAGAATACTGAAAGTGCCATGGGCTGCTAAAAGAACCAATAGATCCATTTTGGAAGAAGTGCAGCCAGAGTGCTCCTTGGAGGCCAAGATAGCCAAACTTCATCTCTCATACTTTCGACATACTGTTAAGAGGGACAAGTTGCTGGAGAAGGATATCATGTTTGGTAAGGTGGAGGGTCAGAGAAAAAGAGGAAGACCCGCAATGAGATGGATTGGCAATGGACTCAAGCGTGGCAACAATAGTGAGGTTGGCCTAGAATTGGGCAGTGTTTCATTCTGCTGTGCATCAGGTCGCTATGAGTCAGTACCGACTCGATGGCACCTAACAACAACAACCACTGCTTATCAAAGTCTTCATTTTGTTTGGCTCCATAATCAACACTCAGGGAAGCAGCAGACAAGGAATCAATCAATGTACTGCACTAGGTAAGTCTGCTGTAAAAGACATAAAGTATTAAAGAGCAAAGATATCAGTTTGAGGACTAACATGCATTTGACCTAAGCCATGGTATTTTCAATAGCCTCATATGCATATGAAAGTGGGACAATGAACAAGGAAGACCAGAGAAGAACTAATGCATTTGAATTAGGATTTTGAAGAAAACTATTGAAAGTTCCATGGACTGCCAGAAGAACAAATCAATCTGTGTGGCAGAAGTACAGCCAGAAGAGCTCCTCAGAAGTCAGGATGATGAGACTTCATCTCAGGAGGGGCCAGTCCCTTGAGAAGGACATCATGCTTGGTAAAATGGAGGGTCAGAGAAACCGAGGAAGGACCCCCAACTAGATGACTTGACACAGTGGTAGCATCAATGGGCTTAAGTGTAACAATTGTGAGAATGGCAGTGTTTTGCTCTGTCGTGCACAGGGACACTTTGTATCAGAACTGACTCGACAGCACCTAAACAAGCAGAAAACCACCACCAACTATCTCTCTGAAGGGATCACAATAGGAGGTGCTGGGTAGAATGGTATAAAAACATGGAACCAAACTCAAAATCATAAGAAAGACCAAGCTTACTGGTCTCATAAAGACTGGCGGTGCCCCTAAGACTATGGCCTTTAGACACCCTTCAAGTCTGGAACTGAACTCATCCAGGTGGCTCAACTTTCTGCCAAACAATACGCAGAACTGTAAGGTGAACAATAACATCGGGGGTTACACCCTACTTAGAACAATCAACCATAAGAGTTCAGAAAGGCAGCATTTGTCCAGGGATAAACCTCAGGAGGCAGGAAGGGATAGCAAAGTGGGACCAATGGGAATGGCAAACACAGAGAAGAAGGAAGAAGTGGAGACTGCAATCAAGTTCACAAACAAAATGTGTGTGAATTGCTGACTGAAAACCAATTTGCACTGTAAACTTTCACCCAAATCACAATTTATAAGTTTCTTAATATAATATATTGGGGTGGGAGGAAGAGAAAGAGTTTTATTTGGGGACTTTGAGTTCCTTATATTGATAGTGATAGAATATTTTGATCAAGAATAGTGATAATGGAGAACAAACAAAATGGCGCACAGCATGGAAGTGTAGTAAAGAGCTCCAGCAACAACACAGAATACCCGACCAAGCAGGTTCAGGGGATGGTTCCAGAACTCTGAACCGCATATAAAGGAATACTTAGAAGGTTGGAAGGCTCACAGCTGGGGGAATTTGTGGCAGAAGCAAGAAATCTATTGCTTTCTAGTCTGGGATGCTCGGCTGCTCCAGGAGCCGCCATCTTGGGTGAGACCACGTGGGGGAAGGATTGGAGTGGCCACAGACGCCTGGCAGAACCACTGAGATAAAGGTGTGGACATTCTTCTCTTTTGGTATCTGTTTATTGGTCCCTTGCTGTCTGTGCACCTCCATTCTGATGACTATAGGGGTGCCTGACCCAGTGGGCACCCCAGCCCCACCCTCGGAGGGTTCTACTACCCATGTGCACAGATCTCTTTAAAATTTAAAGAGACAGTTTCCAATTAAAACCAAACGGCCACAGCTGGCCCTGAACTGTTTCCAACTAGAAAAAAGGCCTGAACGGGGATTGTGGAGCGGGACAAGCAGACAAAAGAGGAAATAGGCCGAAAATTAAACCCTAAGTTACATCAAAATGACCAACAGTGGTATCTTGAAACTTCTCAGGAAGAAGGGTGAAAAGGGAAGCCCATTTTCTGATCACATCTACCTGGAGGCATTCAGGAAGCATAAAAAATACCAAAATACACAACCATCTAAGTATTAAGTCCACAGATAACCCCTGAAGATGGCCAAAAAACAGAAGTAGATGACCATATCTGCACATGCCCAGAAATGAGATAAAGTGACTGAGGCAAATGAGCTGGAAGGAGACCTACAATCCCATACTAGAAGATGGGCAGGCTTTGGAAATGCCTGAGAAGGAATTCAGAAAAATGATTATAAAATGTATCAAAACATTATACAATGCAGTTGAGAAAAATAAGGAAGAAGTCAGGAAAGTGCTACAGGAACAATCAAATAAAATAGATAGAGCATTGGAAACAATTCAAAACCTACAGAAAGAGG